GATATGTTATCCGAAGAATATGAGAAACTAGACAAAGAACATGATAAATATGTTACGGATTACTCTAATTTGTTAGATCATAAAATGAAACTATATATTATAATTAGAAATATAAGATAAAGACTAATGTTTATACCTTTGGAGGATATATTATGCAATTTATAAAAATTCATATCATTAAGGGTAATATAGACTTTTCAATAAAAAATTCAAAAGGCTTAGTCATCCAGGCTAAATTGAAAAATCTCCCGATTATTTTACACTTAGGGTTCTGGTAAGTTTAGAAGATTGGTTGTGTTTCTAAATATATATTCATTTTTTTGGCTTTAATATGTGAATGTAGGTTCGATTTTTCGAGGCACTTTCCCATAATTAATTGTTGCTTGACTTGTCCTGGGCTCCACTTATATTTGATCCAATCTATCTGCGTAAGTTTTACCGTATCCATTTGTCCTTTGCTCATGGAAACTAAGAAAATCATAGCCATATGCCAATCCGGAGGTGAATTTGAAGATGTATTCGTGGATATTGGTATCAGACTAAAATGCCTTCTAGTACTGACTAGAAAGATCATTCTGTCCGGGATGTAAATCTTGAGTAAACCTGTGGATATCGAGTTTTGCATTCAACTGGTCTATGAATTTTAGGGTCTTTTACTTTATATGCCTTCCCATCTGCTTATGGGTGGTAAGTGTTCGAGCAAGTTCAAGCAATGGGGTTTCAGTTGCGGTGCAGAATGTTGATGCTGCCAATTAGAATGCTGCAGGGTAGCGTATGCAAGTGTTACTTGTTTTTTTGTTTACCTCGTTATGTCACTCTTAGTGTTGTAACAAAATTTTGGAAGTGTCATTTGAATAAATTAGGATTAAATTATTTTGAACTTCTAGTTGGTCTAGGATGAACTAATGGGAGTGGAGAAAAATTATTCAGTTGCCAACCCCAAATATTTAGTATTAATTTTTTTTATTTTTATGTTTACCTTGTTTTTTTATGCTAGTGTTACTTTTTGTTTTGTACCTTGTTATGTCACTCTTACTGGTGTCAGTAAAACGTAACTTTGAAAGTGTCTTTGAAATAAATTAGGATTTCATTGTGTTGAACGTCTAGTTGGTCTAACGATCAACTGAAGGGAGTGGAGAAAAATGATTCAGTTATCAACCCCAAATCTAATGGGAAGGCTTTGTTTGTTTGTTGTAATATCATGCATCTTTGAGCTTGGAGCTTGTTGCTATTGTAAGGCATCTCTAGCTGGACTTGTCATCGGAGAATGATGGATGTTGGTCGATAGCATCTCACTTCCATGTATTTCATTTTATA